CCATGACAGATTGCTGTTTTGTTTGCTTTAATTTGTTTTGACAAAAATAAGTATTAAGAACATATATTAAATTTTAAAACAGCAAAAAGGATTGGGGCAGGGATGTGATTTGAAGAATATAATGTAACGTTCACTCCAACAATGTACAATTTCCAGGAGAAATAGCTTGGTGAAATAATCCTCTTCCACAGTTTACAGGCTGCAGAAGATGAGTGCAAATGAGACACCCCCCCCACACACACACACAGAAAAAAGAAACTAGCCAAGGGGCTAGAGTAGGGCAGGGAAGTCTAATAAAGGGCAGGAGGGGAGAGGAGAGTCCAAGAGATACTCCAAAGTATGGCTACCAGTTACATGAATGGATAAAATAGAAAGGGAAAATGAACTGAGTATTTACAGTAGAGCGATAGTAAACACCTGAATTGGTATAGCATGTAGACATCACTATTGCTATTATTTTTAAATACTAAGCCTACAACCCAGGGCCTCTCACGTACTAAGTAAGCTCTCTAAAATTCAGCCACACACAGACCCATGCTACTGTTATTAAAAGGGAGCTTCATGTGGGCTGGATAGATGGCTCAGTGATTAAGAGCACTGACTGCTCTTGCTGAAGGCCAGTGTTCAGTTCCAGCACCCACATGACAACCAACAACCATCTGTAACTTCAGTTCCAGAGGATCTCATGGCCTTTTCTGACCTCCTCTGGCCCTGCATGACACAGGTGCACTTACATATTATGTAGGCAATATGCTCATACACATAAAATAAAAAACAAATAAATAAAAACAAGGTATGTTAAGAAAATAAAAATAAGAAGGAGCTTTATAGCTTTCAGGTGAGCTGGGGAAGAGAGCCAGAAGTCCTGATTCTGGAGTAAAATGAAGAACAACAGATCCATTAATTAAGCAGCTACTTAAGAACTGTGTTAAGCACTTTGTAGACAATATCCAATGCATTACAACAACCAAATAGTTATTAATCTTTCCCTTATGTATCTAAGACTTGGAAAATTTAAGCAAATTATGAAGTCATATAACTAGTTTATGGTTAGGCATTTCAAAACTGGAAGATCAGCACATACTATCCAAAGGTCAAACCATTTCCATGAAAATTTGAGTTATAGACAGAAAAGAAATTTTTTAAAGAATAAGACTAAAAATATCCTGACATCTCTTGACTTTTCCAAGGCAAGTATTACATCACTTGCTTTTCTATTCTCAATGCCTGAAACACTAAACTATGTTTATTAAAGATAAGTTTAACAATAAATGAAAGAGAACATGAGTCAATGACTGAAGAAGTTTGTGGCTCTTTTCTCAGTAACATGAAGAAAGCCAGGCCAAACAAACATGCACTGTGTGCAGGAAAGAAGACAGACAGTCTCCCAGGGGAAGTAGCACTATTTTTCAACAGACAAAGCCATTATATTATTATCATATTTAGCTCGCATACCAAAATGCTGATCCAACTCTTTATTTTGAATCTCTTTTTAAAAATGAAATAAAAGCTAATCAATACTCTATACAGTATTTTAGATTGGAATGATGTGCCATGGCCTCCTTATATGTAGGCAAATACTTGCCATTTTCGGGGGGGGGTCACTGTGTGTCATTTGGTTTTGTGGTGCTGTAGTTCCTACCCAGAGTGATGAGCATGCTAAGCATGTGATCTACCTCTGAGCTACATCCTCAGCCTTTACTTATTTTTCAATAGACTTTCAAATATCTTAGAATTTTCAGCTATTTTTAAAATTCATATACATTCCAGGGTAGTTGGAAAATGTAAGTTTGAGCTCAGTGACCATATGCAATCACCAGGTCAGCCAAGGCTGAGGACAGGGTACCATAGATGGATATATGAGCAAATAGATGATATTCTAATAAGCATAAGTTCCGACTGTATATTTTTTTAAGTGAATGATTTTTTTCCTTATCATTTAGGAACTATGCCTTCTTAAAAGCTTTACCCCCAAATTTAAAAGAAACCCACAAAGCAAGACTTGAAGCAGATCCTGAGGTCTGGCTCACTCACTTTTGTCACAGTATAGACTAGAGGTAGGCAAGCTCTATCTCACTGCTTGTTTTCTGGTCCAAAAGCTATTGAAAGAGTTTATGTTTACATAATTACATTTTAATAGTTATATAGATACAGCCATAACAGCCTCAACTTGGACTTAGCTGCAGATACTAAAACCTTTACCATTTGGCCTTGGTCTAGGCCTCGCTGGGCCTTGGTCTAGGACAATTTTTCTTTTTCTTGAAAAGAGGGAGGTACAACTCTTGTGAAATGGTGACATCACTGGTAAGGGTGTAAGTGTATACTAAGTTCACAACAAAGCACTTTGGCTCTTAGCCACCTATAATTCTGTCTGGAATCTGTTACTTAGAATTTTATTTGTCATTAAATGTTTGGTTTCCCTTCTCATAAAGAATGCATGGCCACTTCCTACTAAACCAAAAACATATTATATGACATGTCATAAACATTCTTGTAAAGTTTTTCATAGACCAAACAAGAAGATAGAAGAGTTTGATATTGATTGAGGCAAAGGAAGATGTCCTCTCATATGTTTAACTTTTCATAAAAAGTTAAAACTCAAAGTGTCTTGGACCAGTGACTAAAATGAAGTGATCTGAATGTCCTGGAAGGAGAGGAGGCACCACAGTCATGGGAGCAGTGTTTAGCAGTTACATGTCTCCAGATTTCAGTGAGACCTGCTGGGTAGGCAAATGCTCTCCTAGGGAGCATGGCTTCAATCCTCCAGCTGGAGAGAGCTGAGTCAGGTTCTACAGCACAGACAGAAAACTGTACCCATGACATCCCAAGGATGCTTTTCTTAAAAGAAAATTAGCAGCTGAGTGGCCAACACTGGTCCCTCTAGCAGTGGAACCTTACAAGGGCATCATCTTTGAGGTAATTTTAGAGGAAAAACACCCATATGACTTGTTTCATTATTACCAAAACAAGGTGTTTGAGGATGACTGGAATTATTGTCACTCAACTAGTTAAAAAATATTGTTCTGAGTTCAAGGCTAGCCTGACCTACATAACAAGTTCCAGGCCATTCAAGGCTATATACCAAGAATCTGCCTCACCAATATGCAACAATATTTTCACTGGATTTGGCAGTAAAGTTCTCATCAATAAAACTTGTATATTTTTAGATTTTCATCTCCTAAGAAAATACATTAAACATTGACAAACACCTTGATAATTTAATTTTAAAAACAAAATTTCTGGTATATTTCTCTATGGATTATAAAATTTAATCTCTGTATTAACTAGGTATCTAAACTAACAACGTTAGGACCTATATTCTAAGTCTGACTTAAACTGCATGATGATCATCAAATCGCCATGGTCTTTCATTGTACTCTTGAAATTCTAAGCATATTCAGTGCTGTAGTATATCCACTAGGAAATTAGGGAATTTCAATTTTAAAGATGAGACAACATTATGTGGGGATGTTCCCGTTGCTTCCACACCTTCAAAAAGAAAGTGGCTTAATACAATCTCTACACTTAAGCTATACCCTAAAGCTATGTTCTTGGTGTTCGTCTTTCCTAAAACGGTCTTCTCAGGAAACAAAAATTATGACAGGATTAGTGAGGTCGAAAGACATTTGCAATCTCAAAGCTTAGAATCTTGTTTGATATGATCACATAATTACCACACCTGGTCAGAGACACAGAGTCAAGGAAAGAAGATGTGGGGTTCTAGTGCCTAAATCATAGCTCTGGTCATTTCCATAGAAACAGATAATTTGTAAAAATCACCACCCTGTCCCTGCGTTATAAAGCTTGTTGGAATTGATTTACAATAAAAATAGCAAGGAATCATCACATACTGGAGCTAACAGAATGAAAAGAATGAGTACACAGAAGCTTAGAATAAAAAACGGAAGCATGTTCCCATATGCCCTCCTTAATCCTTCCCCTACCATCCCTATTGGAATGTGACAGTTTAGCTGTCTCTTTAGGATGAAAATCCCTAAGTCTGATTTGGGTATAGTTAGTGGGTGGCAACATTCAAACATTCAGCTAAGCATTCAATTCAATGCTAGTTTCAACAAGGGAGAGAGGCAAAGATAACTTGATAGACTGAAATGTTCAGCTTGGTATGGTGACGCACGTCTCTAATGCAGCGCACTGAGGAGGAGGCAGAAGGATTGACAGTTCCAGGCCAGTTCTGGCTGCATAGTGACTTCCAGGCCAGACTGGGCCCTATAGGGAGATTCTGTCTCAAAAACCTAGGGATGCAGCTCTGTGGCATATGTCTGTCATGCGCAAGGCCCTGGCTTCAACCTGGGTTAACCCCTTTCCCCTACTCCCCATCCACAATAAAGATTAAGAGATAGCCAGGGGTTTAAATTCTCAGGTACGTGTATTTCCGGTCCGAACTGAGTACTGGGCTCAAAGAGCTATTGAAACTAGGATGCCCTTAGAGAAACGCCAGTACAAGACAAAACAAAGCAAAGACGATTTGGGAAATTAAAGGGAAAACATCCTGTTCTCATTTCATTTTAATGAATACGAGCAGCTGAGGACTTGCTGGAGAAACAGACTCTGAGAGCAAGGCAGCGTACCCAAATGACTTAACCATTTTATGTGAACCCTGAGTGTAAATCTTAAAAGAAGCCCAGACCTTCTATTTAGTTCCTGCCTCTGGTCACAAGATCTTGCAGCAGCCTGCGAAGTCCCTGGGCCCCCACTGCCTGGGAGCTGACCAGCCCCCGGATCCAAGCCTGGGAGCTGCAGGGCTCTGGCGGAGTGTTCCCACGCTCAGGCTGAGTGAGGAGGCCGCAGTAACCCCAAGGGGCTTGTTCTCGCGGCCATCGCCCTCGCAGCCCCGCCCCGGCCACCCCTCCTCGCCGAGTCCCGGCAGCAGAGCGTGGGAGCCAGCGCCCCGGAGGATGCGCACCGCAACTCGCCAAGCAGCAGCCCGGAAGGCAGGCGCGGCGCCAACGTGCGGCCCTAGAGCAGGGCTGCTCACTTACTTGATGTCTTCCCACACCTCGGGACCGTAATTGCGGATCACCAGCAGCTCCAGGGCATGGTTCACGAATCCGTACTGCAGGGACAAGGAGATACCTGCATCAGGGATCCGCGGCTGGCTGTCTCAGCTCCCACCCGGCTCTACTGGCCTGTCACTCACCGTCTGGCTGTGCTCTTCCTAGTACCCTATGCTAAAGGGGACAGATAGCCACGACCATCCAATTACCCGCTCCACCATCTGCCCTATCCCCACGCCATCTTCTCACCCCAGCTCACCTGTCACCGTGGGGCACGGGGGACATCGCGGGGACCTGAGACCCGAGTCTCCCACCCCACTTGGCCTGCGGGAACCAAGAGTCACCTGAAGTCGGAGGCTGGGGAGCCGCTGGGGCGGAGGAGTGATCACTTGGTACCCAGAGGCGCTCCGCTCCTGCGTCCCCACGTCCCCTGGAAAAGCTTTCCCTCCCACAGGTGAGGCCGGTCTCTGGGGCCTGACAAAGGTCCCCCGGGCCCAGGTATGAGCTCCCCTGGCCTCGCTGGTAGCACTTACCATGGTGGCGCCAGGAGCCGGGCAGAGGCACCTAGGAATGGACCCAGGCGGCGACTGCAAAGGCAGCAGTGCAACCCTGCGGGGGAGGCAGCATAGAGCAGGAGCGAGTGCAGCACCCTGGACCCGCCCTGATTGCCATCTCTTCCCAGCCAATCGCAGATCGAGCCGCAGGAGGCTGGTCGCTGTTACCCTGATCTCAGCCAATCAGCAGCAGAGGAGGGAATTCAGATGCTCTCAGTGCTCCTGTGCTTCAGAGTCTTCCTGCCCCAGCCTGGCGACAAGGCCTTCATTTGAGGCCTCACTGAAGATCAAGCAGCAGCAGCTGTGCTTAGTCCATGAGTAGGAGGGCTGTCCTGATCCTACTAAACATGTTCTAAGCCAGAAGTCAGCCTTCAGTGTGTGTGTGTGTGTGTGTGTGTGTGTGTGTGTGTGTGTGTGTGTGTGTGTGTGTAAAACACTGCAGTGACTATCCTTAAAAGGAATATGTCCTGGTGGTGTCAGCATCCTCATATTCAGAATAGTCTTGCAGATAAATGTTTCCTGTGTGGCTTTGCCTCACAACACTTCCTGGCAAACTTAAAGCTAATCGCTAATTGTACTGAGCTAAAGACATTTTACTTTAGTCAGTGGGGATAATTGAGGACAAACTAAAATGTTCAGTGACATCCAAGTAGTTTAGCAAGTGCGTTAGGTTTTGTTGTTGTTGTTGTGTGTGTGTGTGTGTGTGATACACGACATAGTTCAAAGAGAGGAATTAATTGTTTTGGACGTTGTTTTCAAAGGCTTCAGTACACAGTACTTGGCTTCTAGTCATGCTGGCCAAGGAAGTGGCAAGGACTATGCACCTCATGAAAGAAAGAGGCACTGGGAGATGCAGAGAGATGCAGAGAGGCCTGAGCGAGGATACAGCTCCCAAGGATACTGCCAGTGATCTATTCCCCCAGCTAGGCTCCAACTCCTAAATCATCCAGAACCTTCTAAAACAGTGCTCCTAGCTGAGGACTAAGCTTTCAATATGTGGCCTTCACAGGGATCCTTTATACTTGACTTGGAATAGAACACGCACCTCTATCCCAAGCCAGGAGACATAATTCCAGGAAGTTTTAACTCTCTAGAATTGCTTTGCTCTTGTTCATAAGGAGAATGTGAGCTGGAAAGTGCCCAGAACAATGTGCATACACTTTTAATTAATCTCTCTCTCGAGTCTGCCTTCTAGCAGGTAAGTTAATGGTCAGAGCCTCAGCACAAGGAACAACTGGTAAGAACAGAAGCTATCTGGGGATTGGAGATGGCTGCTTCTTAGCTGCACATGTCCACAGGCAATGTCAAAGAGCGGTCATCAGTTTCATGTGGACCTGAGAAACCATGTTGGCCATCAAATCTGTGAAAGTAATCTAATGTGGAGATAGAAAAGTCAAAGCAATAAAATTTCACCATCAGTAGCACCCACATGTATGTTGAAGAACAGATGATACAGAAATGATATAACAAAATGCTACAATTTAATATATGCATCATTCATACAAGGAACATCTTGCTTTACACAGCTATTAAAATATGAAACCTTTCTTTAATATTAAACTTTCTTTTTTGAGACAGAGTCTCCCTGTAGCCCCAGTTGACCTGGAACTCCTTATGTAGACCAGGCTGGCCTCCATCTCACAGACCTTCCTCTGTCTCCCAAGTACTGCGATTAAAGGCATGCACCATCTCACCTGGCACTAACCTTTATTTCTTAACTTTTAAAATTGAACATTTAAACAACTATGAAAAGGCACGAGGAAGATTACTCAATGATAAAAAGTAAACAAAAGCTATGAATGAAATCATCCTCAGTAACTGACTGTATAGAAGAGGGAGTAGTATGCATCAAAGGAACACACCTGCTGCCTCATACATGGCTGCAAGCATATGAGAAATGTAGAAAGTATTGATATGGTTACTGTCCACTAGCTGGAGGGGCCAAAACTTTTCCCTTTCTGTTGTAACCATCTCTTGTACAGTAGTTTCCTTTGAACTGAAACAGTCCCTCCGAGAGAGGGGGAGGCTCATGAGACTCAGGAGGTAAACAAAACGATGTCTGAGAAAGTAAAAACTTGGAAGATTCTTGGAGGCCTCTCCCCAGCTTTACCAAAGCAGTAAAAAACTTCTGGGGGTAAAGAGTCTGGCCAACTAAACTGAAGAGAGAATATCTCTCAGACTTGTGGAGCTGCCTGCAAAGTGTGCAGAGTTCCAGGGATGCGGCTCTATGAGCCATCACCTATTTAGGTTGGACTTTTGTTGATGCAACTGCTTTTGAGTCATCCCTGCTCCTGTTGGCAACCCCTCACCCACATTCCCGTAAGTCACTCTTCACCCACATTTCTGCTAGTACCCCTTACACAAACCTGTTAGTAACCCCAATTTCGACTTTGGCAGTTGTTACTTTGGTCTGTCATGGGTAATTTATCTGGACTGGGTAGATGTATGTGTGTGTGTGTGTTGTGTTGTGTCTTCCTAGGAAACATCTTGCACACAACACTGACTGAGAATTTTGATTGCACATTAATTTTTTAAAATTTGCTTAAATGGCACTTTTAACAGTTTTTATCTGCTCTATGAACAGCAGTGTATCTGTGGTCTCCATTGGTACCACACAGCAGAGTGTCTAAATTGTCTGCTTTAGACTTCACAGGCAATAAAGGCAAGAAAATTGCTTTGTAGAAGAATTTCTTTGCCAAAGAATGCAAAAATTTCATCCGATAAAGATGGGAGGGGCAATGAAGATTGAGCCTTCCTCTCCTCTCCTCTCTCACACTCTCTCTTCCCCCTTTCCCCTCCCCACTAATTCAGACTTCTATCCACATTTTCTTTTGTCCAAAAACTTTTTAGAGTTATTGTGCTTGCCCAGCACACATTTACATTTGTAAATACCTTAAGTTGTTTCATGTTCTAATTGTCTAGCATTCACTCTGAATCTAAAGGCAGTTCTGTTCACTAAAGCATAGATGATTTTTATTTTTTTCATACAGTACCACAAAGGATATGAGTTCCCAAAAGCCATAAAGAGCCCAAACGTGTCTCCACACTTCTGCAAATGCCATACTCTTTGTCTGCACTGTCGACCAAGGATTATACAAGTAATATCACAAAATGACTCATGTCAAGTTCTCAGAAACAATACATTGCAGTTTTCTTTGAGTCCCAAGCTTAGGAGAATCAATTAAAAAGGAGATGAACTTAAAGAAGGGCTTAGACAACCCCAAGTCAACATTAACTATTTGAAGATCAGGCTAATGAAAAACAAACAAACGTAAGATGATTGGTGGCTTTCGGAAATGTCAGCTGAAATGACTCACATTTTCAGCTAATAAAAGTAAATTATTTGGGAAAGTTAAATATTGAATATACTAGGACCACTTTTTTTCTAATCAATATGATAATAACATGCCTTATACTGAGAATACAGAAGATCATTTGGGGGCTCTTTCAGGCCTATGCATGTGTTTTTAAAGCTTTGGCATTCTTCCTCTCTTTTAGTGTCATGGAATCAGGGTTTTGCAGAGCAGCATATTCTGAAATTTCAACCAGTATTTACACAATGATTTGCTTTCAATTTACATTCTTCTCTAGTTTGCATAGGTCCAAATCCAGTTATTATTATCTCTTCAGTTCCTGGTGGTAGTGTTACTTAGGTATGCAATATTCTTATCTCTTGTTACAAAGTTTTCTAAACGTCATCTACCACATAAAGCAAGTAATTCAGGATGCCCTATGAGCAAAGAACAAGCACATTTAAAAGGGTCGCTTCACTGAGCAAAGGAAAATTAAAAGTGGAAATTGTAGATTCTTAAGAAGAGGGATTCAGATTTCTTATTTTCAAATAAATGGATACTAGTCAAATGAAAAGCCATCCTTGAATATTAAGAACATACCTTTTTGCTATTTCCATTTGTTTGTTTTGTTTTTGCCAGGGGTGAATATCAAACCCAGGGCCCTGTGCCTGCTGGGTAAGTGCTCTGCCACTGAGCTAAAAGAATCACTTAAGAGGCTGGAAAGATGACTCAATGGTTAAGAGCACTGACTGCTCATGCAGAGGAGTCAGGTTTGATTGCCAGCACCCACACAGTGGCTACCAACCACCCATAACTTGAGTTCCAGGGAAACCCAAAGCCCTCTTCTGACCTCTGCTGGCAATGCACAACATGGGTGCACTCACATATGTGCAGGGATACACTCATCACAGAAAAGAAAAAATAAAATATTTTTAAAAATTTTTAAATACTTTAAAAACCTATATGCTACCAAATTCGAAAACCTAAAAGAAATGGATACATATCTAAAGGCATGGGAACCACCAAAACTAAACCAAGAAGAGATTAACAGCTTAAACAGACCCATATCACAAAAAGAAATTGAAACAGTAATACAAAACCTCCCGACTAAAAAAAGCCCAGGACCAGATGGATTTACAGCAGAATTCTATCAGACATTTAAAGAAGATCT